AAGCAAGCAAGCCTCATGCTCGCTTCCAGCTGCCTGGCTGCCGGCTGCCATCTTGGCTGACAGTTAATTTGCATATACTCACTGATTAGCCAATGAAAAGGGTAGCGGTTGTACGCTAATTACCATGTTTCTCTTTTATTATTATAGATGACACATCTCATTACAATTTTACCACATATCTATGTATCCATAAACAATACATATTTATTTTGCCTAGTTCAGAACCTGATATGAGAGTCATACTGTATGAATTTTTGAGATGTAATTTATATACAGGAAATGCATAGGCCTTAAATGTATAGGCTGATGAGTTCTGGCAAATGTATGCTACTGTACATATTTCTTTTATTTTTGCCTCTTTGGTTAAATATTAGGTTATAAGGTACATCCAGGTATTGTGCACAGTTGTACCACTATGCTGAATGGTAATCCATTGTATAAACGCACCACAATCTACATATTCTTCTGATAATGGATATCCAGGTTTCCCCTAAGATTAAAGATTTTTTTAAATGTTTCTATGAACATTCTTGTACATTAAATCTTCTTGTGGACAATACAAGTGTTTCTCTGGAGTATATACTTAGGAATAAAATTACTAAGCAATAGTATATGCAAATCTTAAACTTTATTAAATAGTGCCATATTGTTTTCCAAAGTGGTTGTACCAATTTATATTCCCATCAGCAGCCTATAAGAATTCTTGTTGTTCTAATAGACTTAACACTTGGTATTGTCAGAATTTTGTTTTTTCAAGCATAATAGGTGTGAAATTAAATCTCATCATTGTGATTTTAATTTGCACATCCCTGATTACTACTGAAGCTGAAACCTTTTCTTATACTTATTAGCCATTTGGGTTTCCTATTCTGTAAATTTCCTCTACATGCCCTTCATATGTTTTATTCAGTTGGGTTGTTTAGATAATAACTATATCAAAGAATTTAAATATTTTCAAGTCTCCTGACTTGGAACCTTATTCCAAAGAGCTGTTCTAAATTATGCTCCCAACAGGAATGATATTTAATAAATATGATGAATGAAAACAGACATCTTGGCTTCATTTGTATTTCTTAAATTATGAGAAAAATTGGTTTTCATAGAATAACCATGATATTCTTTCTACTGTGAATTGTTTATGTCCTTTAATTATCTATTGGTATCACAGTGGGGTTTTAAAGTGAATTTGTATGAACATTTAAAATGTAAAGGAGATATATTTTGTCATATTTTTCTGACTATTCTAGTTTGCCTTTTAAATTTGTTTCTTAATAGATAAAGAACTTCAAACTTAAATTACTTAAAATTGTCCTGTCATCTATGATTTTTCCCCCTTTTCTTTTAACTTATGAAATCTTTCATCCAGTGGTAAAATACTTGTTTCTGTTTTTTTCCCTAACAGTAATACAAAGTGTGTATGTTTGTGTGTGTGTGTGTGTGTGTGTGTGTGTGTGTGTGTAGCGGGGCGGTGGGGGGTGGGGGGGATTTAATTTTTTTTATCTACCTGGATATGTGTGATATAATATATATTGTCAAACTGATTTCACAGTTAACAGATTATTTACCCCACCAGTGGACATGTTAGTTTAAAAGAAAGAAAGAAAAGGCAGAAATGCCACCACTGAACCACCTGTGTTTTCAGACTGGAGTGGGGAAAGGAGTTCTTTGCTATTTAAGTTACAGACTGGGTTTTCTTTGGGGGCAAAAGAATAAAGGTTCTCAGGAAAGTTAAAAAGCAAGATAATTTGGTCAGAGTTAAGATTATGAGGATTTACTCCTCTCTGAATGAGTCCAAACACAGTAAAAATAACTGGACTTCCAAAGTAATAATGAGAAATTTCATTCAAAAAAAACAAAAATCATATAAAATATATACTTTAGATCCATATTATAATCCCATTAAATAGAAACAAAAGGGGACTGATCAAAGGTCAAAAAAGAAAAACAAAAAAGGGAGAAAGATTATAGCCATAGAAGGGAGGAAGAAAAACAACAGAAAATACAGAATAAAAACGATAAATATGAAGTATAGACTCTTTTACTTGTGATTTAAGTTGTAACTCTGTCCTTATTGTTTTGAAAACTCAACTGTTCTTTTTCCTGAAAGAAACCATTAGAGGCTCAACTAGGAGAGAATATATTGTTCCAGGGATATAAAATACTCTGGACTCTAAGTAAACATCAACGAAAAGTAGCCTGAATCTAGGTCCGGTTCATTTTTGAACTGTCATAATATCTAGCATATTTATTTCACTCAATAGATACCTGTTAAATTGGTATTACTTCATGTACCTAAATTAGTCCACATTTTCTCTACTCCTGCTCCAGATTTTTAAAAATTAAACATAATTCAGTTCAAATTGTTGTTAATTTTTATTTTCTCAAGCAGTGGAACAAACAAATCTGTATTACTTTCATTAGCATTACTACATTGACTATTAACCTTTCTATTAAATTGGAAGAACTCTAAGCTTTCTGCTATAATGATGACTTATAAAATTTTATCAATGTGCTATATTTGTAAAATCAAAAAGCTTACCTTACTGACACCAACTTCAGGGATTCGGAGAGTATGCTCCATATCTTTTTCTCTGCACAGTTAAGAAACATGTCTTTAATAATTTTTGAAGCATATATAAATGCAGCACTTAGAGACATGAAAATAATTTTTAAAAATATTTTGTTTGTTTTAAAAGATAATGTTTAAGAAAAGATATACTAACTTCTGCACAGCAAAAGAAACCATCAACAAAACAACAAGAAAGCCCAATGCATGGGAGAACATATTTGCCAATGCTATTTCAGATAAGGGTTT